TGATGACGATGGAACGCGGCACTTGAACTATCTTCTTTTCACTTAACCGCTTCGTCTCAGCACCATACAGCAGGACCGGCCAAATATTTGTATCAGGTTTATTCTGTACATCCAGTAATTCACCTTTATGTCCTGTCTTGTCACTATCTCCTCTCTCCAGCACCACGGTTTATTATACTGCGTCATGTCACGTGATATCTTTTATCAGACCCATCCTGCAGATTCAAATAGGAAGATTGACAACATAAAACGTCATTTATCTCATTCTAGCTACTGCTGTGGTATACTGTATACTTTTTCTTGAGCTTGTAACTATGCAGGATTTTGGCGCTGAAGACGATATGGAAAAACAGTTCGGTTTCATTTTAAGTTTTTACAACCATTAATCATGCACTTTAGTGCGGCGCTTTTAGTTGTTATCTCTTGGTTGTCCGTTTGGATGAAGGAATCAAGGGAATATCATGGTGTTACAATCAGTGTTAGGATGAAAATAGGGAATTCATGAAGACCAAGGTTGCAATGACGAGTAGCTGCACTGTTAGCGATACTCAGTCTCTAAACANCTCTAAACATCGGGGATAATGGAGCTAGAGTCTTGAATGCGAGTTTCTTGGATGCAGCACATTGATGGCTAGGGTCTCTAGCATACGAGCTAAACACGGCTGTTGTCCTTTATGCACCAGAGTACGCACAATAAATGTGGTTAGTTTGAAAAGAAATCGAAGACGAAGAAGGGCTTCCGCTGGTAGAGGATTCAGTGAGACTTGGACGCCCTTCGGACGGGGTCAAACGTCCAAAGTACCCAGTACACCTCAATCAAACCAGTGACCATAGCCACAATCGAAAAAGTGTGGGTGTGGTTCGTACACCTCCTCTTGGTTGGTTTGGAATCAGGGTTGTTGGCCACCTTCCCTAGGTGAACTGCCAGTGGTCCACCAACCCAGTTATAGCCCCGGATGTCGGCTTTTCGTCCTCTCACTTTGGTGAGAAAACACCTCCGCCACGAGAAGGCAGTGAGTAGAGCTTCCTCAGCAGAGGCTATGTGAGACGCTTGGTCGTATAGGAGCATTTCGCGAGTTGCAGGGAAATGGTGACCAGCCGCAACCCCAGGTACTCACTCCCGACCATACTGAGGCTTTCGGAAGTACTACTGTTAGTACGATCGTCTGAAGGACCCGAAAGAGATGGAGGTGTGTTAGGGGGGGGGATTAAGGAAGGCTGGGAAAACAGGAGGGTGTTTACTGTGTAGTGTCTTTCGATTGATGAAGAAGATTCGGTGTGAATTCATGAGAGCGAGTGCGTTCATAGTTGTGTGGCGGTTGTGGGCTGTTGTAGTACTCGGTCGCCCGGTTCAGAGTAGGCCTTTTTCGAGGGTACACTTTAGCCTTTGCGCAACCAAGCGCAGACTGCAATGCAACAGTAATGCTCTGGATGAACCGGTGGCCAGTTTTCGGTTCTTTTTTAACATTCAAATGTGAAAATATCAGTGCTCTCGATGTGGCCTCGTAGCTCAGCCAGCAGGGCATGCGCTGTACAAAGGCGTAGGCGGCGTCCATGCGTGCATTCGAATTCTACCGCGGCTACTGAACTTTTCACAATCTGCCAAATAACAATTTTAACAATTTACCTTGCCTTAGAGGTTTGTTCGGTGGACTCCGGAAAAACAGCAGATGGGCCGAACCCCATAGTCACGAGGACCTGCCGTTCAGTTATGGAAACCGGTAACCAAAGTTCCGGGACTTGGAGTGGCGAACCACATAAGGCCCCGCTAGGTTGCACGTGGTATTGAACCGGAAGGCAGCAAAGCTGCCTACTACCAAAGTTAGATGGCGATGGAGGGGTTCGAAACTCGGACCAGAGGGTCCAAAACATGCCGATGACAGCGACCAACCCACTGTATCACCACCGCCTCTTCTGGAAAGCCCTGGCGCACAATGGATCTTGATAAGGAAAGGTGGCCATATTTAGTGATGGGCCACACTCGCCGCGTCACATCACTGTCCACAGAAATTTGTTGTTTTTACGGAGAACCCTTGCTGAGAGGTAAATCCATCACATCCTCGAACGCTACCGCTGATCGTCCGCGACCGCTTATTCGGGGGCATAGACCCACCTTATCAACGGTTAGCCGCGAGATGACGGCCATTCCCTTATCCGCGATCCGGGGACGCGCTCGGTAGCATACAACTCTGCTCCCCCTAGGGGATAGTTTGTAAAGGTATATGGACCACGAATTTTGTAGTCAAGAAAGAATACACCTCGGTAACCTCAGGGAGAACCAATGTAAGCACGGGTACCACTCCAATCGTTTATGCGTGTACATTGAACTTCTGTGATACGATCTTCGAAGAGCTTTCCAAATTCGAGAAGAGTATTTCAAATGTGTATTCGTTAATGAAAACACCCGTAGATAACCCAAGGATCACAATCACGGTAGCTTTTGAAACTTCGTTTCCAACATCAAATGTGTAAGAGTGGGGAAGTAATGAATCATATCCACTGTGCTTAAACAAGACTTTGAAGCCACTGTTAATCATATTTTACTTCCTGAAGATCGTTTATGCCTTTTAGCCTTTGGAGGTACGTGAGTTTTCCGAAAAACCTCGTCCAGAACCTTTGAAACCTGTGAAACCTGCGAAAGTTGAGCATCTTGGCTGGTTGGCGCAATCAGAGTGCCCCGTTGATGATGAAAAGCTGGTGAGTAACGTTCAATTTTCGTTAAAACTGCAGTGGTTTGAGTTTGGTAATAATTTCAACCCGTCGCTCGGTATGGTGGACACGTAGCTTGACAGCCGTCAGTGAGTTTCACGTCGCTGTATATCGCTGTGGGATGTTGAAGACGATGATAACATGTCTGTGATGGGTTTTTCACATGGGTTATTGTGACTTTAGACTACGTTATGGAAACCCAGTGATTTTGATGGACGGTAAATTAGGATTTTGTAAACATTCTTAGCTCAAAATTACTTGGGAATAGTGGGGTGAGGTAAGTTATCATTGTTTCCTCCTTTATCTTCACACCATTCTCAGTTTATCCAGGAAACCGTACACTTGGGAAACACCTGATTCGAGTTTCACTCTCACAAGAGCGCATCGGTATTGCATGCCCACCAGTTCATTCATCTTATGAATCCCCAGCTCATCACACAGGGGGTGTTAAAGCTACCAGCTACCCGGAATTAACGAATGATGATGATGACAGTTTCAGGGTTGACAACAACGAATAGAGATAGTCAGATGTCTGCTAAATCCAGTAGAAAACCCTTTTAGAATCGGGTATTCCATGCAGGCCCATAATAATTAAGCCAATTTTACGCCATCGGTTTTATGGATCACAATGATCCATAGAGACTCTCGAAAGCAAAATTACAAAAGGTGTCCTTAGCACACTTCGGTCTGATTATTCGAGGGTGTATCTTTCGCCTTTTCAAACTCTTTTTCAACCTGTGTCGGTGGGGTTCTAAACAATGTGCTAATTAGCAGTTAGGCTCATCCGCCTTCGCTGAAATGCCTTGCCGAGTAGATCGAACCGGAGGAAATGTGATGACTTAGTAAGTGGTTAGTCCCATTCGTCTTGTCGCATTATCGCCTCATGTCTGTTCGCAAGTCAGTTATATATATATATATATATATATATACCGTCGTTAGACTTCAACCGTTTCGTAGGAAGAGTCAACATCCTGGGAAAATGCGCTGCTGACACGTTGGCGCTTATGTAGTGAGCATTAACCCCTTTTCCACCAGTAGCAACTAACTTTATGATTGTTCTCCTCCCAGGACCCGGGAACGCGCCAGGTGGCATTCAGCAGTGCCTCGGGTACATGTCGCCAAGCAAACTTGCCATACCAAATTTGACTGAATCAGTCGAACTGTCTGTGAGGGTGTTCTCTGGAGTACAATCAGTCAAAATTAAAAAGAATCATTTGCTTGTATTTTATGAACTGATTGTTTTTGATAATCTGGTTAGATCTCTGTTTTCTTTTTGTTTTCTGGACTTGATTTCAACCACAGACCTGGATAAATGGGAACTAACAGGTGCTCTCAAACTGTGGTCACTTCATATGTTATCGCATTATCATTTTTCATGTTAATGACCACCGCGTGGTGGTCAACAGATGACGTGGATGTGAGGCATCGAGAAATGCACAGAGCGATTAAGTAGAATCGTGTTTCCCGTCTTCCAGGTTGAGGTCCGAAAGACTACAACTGGTTGGCTAAAGACATTAGAGGTTATGGCGACTGACCGACAGCAGTGGCGCTCTTGTTGTCATTTCTTAACAAGGCAGAATGCTTGAGAAAGGTATGCATGAATACTTAGATTGTGTACTCTGTGTGTTGAACATAGAGGTTCTTTTTCTTTGCTCCTCTCCATGTAGGCCCAATCCCTCTCCATCTTTTGCTTTATCATTTGGTTTGTGTACATCGTATGCTTGGCAGCGGTCAGTGAAGCTCATTTCACTGTATCTTGCTGTACGATGATGATGATGATGATGATGACTGATTGCCTCTGAGTGTTTGACCACGTTTTACTCATGCCAGCCATGCAAATGTTTCGGCGCGTTCCGTTTATCCGCTCACAACAAATAGAAACGAAACAGATGTCAGTGAATAACTTGGGTTTAAAACTGAAGATATTGACATTGAAACTAGTATGGGTAGGGAGTTCTCGGTATTCAGATTAGAACGGCACAGATGAATGGCACCTGCGACTCGAAACTTGCAGATATGGTTCGAAATTGCAATCATTGGCGCGCATTCTGTGAGAGTATTCCTGATTAAACACCAGTTCATTTTTTTTTCAACACCAATTCGTACACTCATACAAACGATTGTTTGTGGTTTTTCTATTCGTGGTTAATATGATAGCAACAATATTGATAAAGATAATATTGATTTAAGCTTTACAGCAGATGTTTTAGCATTGGAAATCCACTTTCGCATTACACACACAGACGTATATATATATATATATATATATATA